TTTAGTCCGTTTGGAAAATTATAACCTGCTGGCGCAATTTATTTTATGCCTTTTAAATTAAGGTAATCGCCCTTTGTTTTAAACTGCGCAATTAGTGTCTTGGTGCCCCCACTCTTTATTGTTCCCCTTTCAAAATTCTTGTTCTGATAGTTAAATCATTACCTGTGGCTGCAAACTGGTTGGGATTTAATGGCATGACTGCATGTAGAGCTATCTTTTGTGAAAAGCTAAACTATTCAGTGTCATAAACCTTTGATAGACAGTGATTCCTCGGAGCTTAACTTCTATGAGCGCGTGTAAATCGATAACGCAGTTTATTCTTATGCCATGCCAAAGGCACATAGGTAAAGAAAATGACGTGTTTCATATGGATGATGAAAAATGTCTCTTTTTTTTATCAGTGCTTGTGGTTATATGATCCATAAACAGAACTTCCTCCTTGTCCACTGTAATTCTGGTAAATTTTACATTTTCCAATCAAAATATATAAAAATGCTAGAAAGTTCAAAATGCAAAGAGATGCCCTCTAAAGCTTTAGGGTAACTAGCTGTGTATTATATTTTGAGTCCACATGGTCTATGTTTAAGCATATTACTAAAGGAACACTGTAACATTAAGAATAAAAACATGTATTTCTAAATCTATAGCGTTCTCCTAACTAGTGCTCTACCCCTGCAATGTTCAAAAAGATTTACTTCCCTTATATCCCATGACGGATCTCTGATCTCACCATTATTGCCCCATCTCCTTGCTGACATCATCAATGCATATCAGGAGGACAGCCACTAGAGGTGTGTTTAACACTGCAATGGAGGCTTTGGAAACATTGCAGGTTTAAAACTAAAGGGTCACTCAATTTGTATCTTGTCAATTTATTCATAGTACATACAATACCTGTTTTTCTTAGTGTCACGTGACTTTTCAATGTATTATTTATAATGTTATATATAATTTTAATTATTTCTATATAAGAAACCGTTTAAAAAAAGAAACTTAAAGGTGCACTATAGGGTCAGGAATACAAACATGTATTCCTGACCCCATAGGGTTAATACCACCATCTAGCTCCACTGGCCCCCTCATGCCTCCCTAAATAAAGTAAAATCTTACTTGTACTCAAGTCTAGAGCTGCTTGCTTTGTCCCGGTTTCCTTAAGACCTGCCCACTCCCTGTGAGATCAGCAGAAGTGGTAGCGTGATCCCATAGGATTGGCTGAGACTGACAAGGAGGCATATCAGGGGCAGAGCCAGCATGATTCAAACACAGCCCTGGCCAATCAGCATCTCCTCACAGAGATGAATTGAATCAATGAATCTCTATGAGGAAAGTTCAGTGTCTGCATGCAGAGGGAGGAGATACTGAATGTTTGGATGCATTTTAGGCAGCCATGACCCAGGAAGGATCTCTAACAGCCATCCAAGGAGTGGCCAGTGAAATTATCAACAATGTAATGCAGTGTTTACAGCAAGAAGCCTGAAGGTAATGATTCTAGTCACCAGAACAAATTCAATAAGCTGTAGTTGTTTTGGTGACTATAGTGTCCCTTTATAGATCATTTTACAAGGCAATTGTGCTTTATTCTGGACCTGGCTTTGTGTAGTGGCTTTCCAAGGAGACTGCATCATCCATTGAATAATATATATTTTGCAATAAAGTATATCTGTTTGTTTATGTTTTGTTTACTAAGACACAAAGTACAAAGCTTATAACATAGATTGACATTGAGCCAAGATGGAGGTGCTCAATTTCATGATTGGCAGAAGTGGTTATAGAGATTATAGTGTTACTTTAACTAAGTTAACAAATAACCAGCAAGGTTTTAAAGCCCACTTTTGTGCAAACACTTCAAAGTATATTAAATTACTGTTTCTGGTTAGCTGATAAATGTGTTACTGACCCATTCAAATTTAATTTAACCATAAAGTACAGTTTTATAATGTAGAAACCTAATTACAACATGATTAAATTTAAAGGGACTCACCAAGGACAATAACCCTTAGTGTATTGTAGTGTTTATGATATTAGGAGGCTGTAGGTGTTGTGATTTATTTAAAAAAATATATATATTTTTTTTAAATACAGAATTTCCAGCACCCAGATCAGTGGCATAATGAAGAATTCTCCCATTCTAAGTATCCATTTAAGCTCTCTTTAATTTTTGAGCTTGAACAGAACCTGATTGACAGCCGGTGTACATATAGGTTGATTCAATGTTAAAGGAACGCTATAGTCACCTAAATTACTTTAGCTAAATAAAGCAGTTTTAGTGTATAGATCATTCCCCTGCAATTTCACTGCTCAATTCACTGTCATATAGGAGTTAAATCACTTTGTTTCTGTTTATGCAGCCCTAGCCGCACCTCCCCTGGCTAAGATTGACAGAGCCTGCATGAAAAAAAACTGGTTTCACTTTCAAACAGATGTAATTTACCTTAAATAATTGTATCTCAATCTCTAAATTAAACTTTAATCACATACACAAGGCTCTTGCAGGGTCTAGCAAGCTATTAACATAGCAGGGAATAAGAAAATCCTAATTAAACAGAACTTGCAATAAAGAAAGCCTAAATAGGGCTCTCTTTACAGGAAGTGTTTATGGAAGGCTGTGCAAGTCACATGCAGGGAGGTGTGACTAGGGTTCATAAACAAAGGGATTTAACTCCTAAATGGCAGAGGATTGAGCAGTGAGGCTGCAGTGGCATGTTATATACAGCAAAACTGCTTCATTAAGCTAAAGTTGTTCAGGTGACTATAGTGTCCCTTTAAATCAATGCGAATTCTCTGTGTGATCTCGTGTAGTACAAACACCGGGACAGATAAAGAGAACATGCAATTTTCCCATTATGAAATCTCAAGTTTAGGGGATGATATTCAGGGCCAATGAATCCTCTGGTGCAGTGGTGCTTGTACCACTTTGACATGGTTTGACAACAAAAACATAAAATACACAAACAGTAATGCTTATGGTGTTTGGACTGTTCTTTGGTACAGTAAATTCTTAAACCGGTGTTCAGGATTTATATATAAGTAACTTTATGTAGATTTTGTTATAAAAAAATAAATTTAAAAAAGCTATCCCACTTGATTGTAGAAAGAAATAGATTTTTATTTTATTTTAATTTTACTACCTGAATATCCTTCTGAACGCTTTGAAACTTTGCTAATGTTGTGTGAATAAAATGTACAGTTTTGTAAAAAGAGAAACTTAAATATTAAATATTGTTATTATGTATTGCTTTAGCAGGTTGGTATTGTTCAGATATTAAGTCCAAGAAATATTGGTAATATACAGCAGGTTAGGAAAAAAAATTGTTGTTTACAAATATGTCTTCCTAATGCAATAATGCTCGAATCACTATTTAGGTGACCAGGCCAGCATTTCCAGAGTTAAAAAGCTGATTTACTTACCTTTTTTCCTAAGCACACTGGTCTCCCTGCTCAAGCTCCGCCTTTTTGATGATTTCAGCCAATCCATTGCTTTGCCAAAGTGTTGGGCGGCTAGTGCGCAAAATGCTGTGCTGCTCAAACCAGATGGTCTCTTGAGACTATCTGACTATAATAGCAGAGTTTTACGAAAGTGCCTCTAGTGGCTATCCTATTGACAGCCATAGAGGCAGGCTAACCCAGAAATGTGAACATTGCAGTTCCTGTAGAATAGCAATGTTTTGAACTGCAGGGTTAGGGGGGAGGGAGGCACATGGCACCCAGATCACTTCATTGAGATATATTTCCAACTGGATGGCTGCCCACTTCCTTAAACTCAACCTGTCCAAAACAGAACTTCTGGTCTTTCCTCCCTCAAGTGTTGCTACTCCATTGTCTGTCTCCCTCCAAGTCAACGTCGCCACCATCACCTCTACCTCGCTAGCTTGCTGCCTAGGTGTTCTCTTTGACTCCAGCCTCTCCTTCACTCATCATGTCCAGTCGATCGCCAAATCCTGCCGCTTCCATCTCAAAAAACATAGCTCGCATCTGCCCCTATTTAACACTAGACGCAGCCAAGGTGCTGGTCCATGCCATTGTTCTTTCGCTCCCCTTCTCAGTGGTTTTACGTGTTCCCAGATTGCACCGCTGCAGTCTATAATAAATGCGGCAGCAAGGCTCTTTTTCCTGTCCGCCCGCACCTCCCACGCCTCCCCACTCTCAGTCCCTACATTGGCTTCCAGTTAGATATAGGGGACAATTTAACATTCTGGTGCTTGCTTACAAGTCCCTACATAATGCTGTTCCAACCTACCTGTCCTCCATAATACACAAGTATGTCCCGTTGAGGCCCCTGCTCTCTGCCAAAGTCTATCCTCTATCCGTACTCCCACATCTGATGCTCCCCTCCAAGACTTCTCCAGGGCTGCACTTTTTCTGTGGAACTCCCTTCTCTTCTCCGTTAGACTTTCATCCAGTTTCCACTCCTTAAAAAAATCTTTGAAAACACACTTCTTCAGGAGAGCATATCATTTAAACTGTTAGTGGGTTTTCAGTGTTCTCAGTGAATACTTTTCTAGCAACCTATTTATTTAGTTACCCCTACCCTTTATGTCACTATACCCCACTCCCTCTAGCATGTAAGCTTATTAGGCAGGGCCCTCAACTCCTCTGTTCCTGTGCGTCCAACTTGTCTAATTACAATTACATGTCTGTTAGTCCACCCATTGTACAGCGCTACGGAATTTGCTGGCGCTATATAAATAATATAATACTAATATATAGTGTTCACTTCGTTGTGCTTATAGTGTTGATTTTAGATCAGGCAAGAAACACAGTTCACCACAAAAACTGTACACTGACCATTCATCCTCCACTTTCACTAATCTCTCTCTCATATGCTTTTTTTTAATATACGTTTGTGCTGTCCAGATTATTTTCATATATAGTTCTGCAGGTTATTTGCCATACTTTTCCTTGTACAAGTTGTCAAATTTACTATTATAGTGCAGATTCTTGGATCGATTAAATGTTGCATTATTCAAAATAGTCCTAAAAGTATGTTTATTATGCTAGACCACAGATAGGCAACCTTCGGCACTCCAGATGTTGTGGACTACATCCCTCATAATGCTGGCAAAGCACCATGGGAGGTGTAGTCCAAAACATCTGGAGTGCCAAAGGTTGCCTATGCCTGTGATAGACCTTTCCGATGTTCCATAAGACTAATCGTTAGTCCAAGCAGATTGTGTTTTAACGAACAAATAGCTCCAGAATTCATTCTACACAATAAATAGATATGCACATCTATGAATGAAATGTTTCACTGCATGGCAACTAATAAAACACGACTCACTGCATTCATGGATAAATGTGGAACTATGATTGTTCATGGATTGTATGTCACATGATGCTTTGTCAGTTTTCTGAAAGAAGATTTCAAACTTCTACAATGGCAGAGTTAACCCTCAGTGGACTGGAATACTGTGCGAACATCAGGGAGAAAATCCTTGTTTTATTACTAAATAATTACAGAACCATATTTTTCAAACTAATGGCTGACTATGTGCTAAATGTAGTTTAATAGAAATGAAATCTAAGTTGCCTGGGTTACTCTTGATGCTCTCTCGGGTAACTTATTGATTTAATTGTGTTTGAACTTAAGTTCTATAACCGTTGGAATATGATTCTCTGTTTGAAATCCAAGAATTAACAGGAAGTGTGTATACTGTGCTATGTGATGGTTCTGATTCTATACCAAGATGATCAAATATTGGCTCCGTAACTGTCTTTAGATTACACTTCCTGTGATACAGACAGTCCATGAGAGTGATGGCAGTTGTAGTCTAAACATGTGTAGGTTCTATTTCCTTCTTTGTAGTTTTTTTCTGACCCAAGGCTTAAATCTGAAATCTTTCAAAGTGTAGACAAACAGAATGCCTGCGTCTAGAAGCCTTGAAGTGATAGAATGTTTAAAATTAAAAGAAGGTTATTGATATAAATATTAGCCAAAAACAGGCAAATGTAAAATCAAATTTATAATATTATATATGCCTAATATTCGGCTGCTAGCCTCTTCCTAGGGTTGCGTCGTATTTGTGGTAACACTTAATATTTCTGTATTTTGTCAAGCAGTTCATTAAATTACACTACCTATGTGAAAACCATCATGTGTTCATCCAATTTCTTTTGAGATCCTGACCATAATAAATTCATTAATTTTATAAACCTGAATTCCAAAATTATTGGGCAACACTTTAAATTGTATATCTGTGCATCCCCCCCATCAAACACAAAATCATGCTGTACAATTAGACGTGCTACAAGAAATGATTTCAAATTTGATTCATCATCATGGCATGCGGAGTGTGTGCGAAACCTGCTCTAAAGACAGCGTTGGTCATTGCTAAGCAGCTAGCCGCACAGTAAAACAAACACAGGATAGAGACATGTATATCATCCAGAACTAGTCATTTATTTACAACAAGGCTCTAATTCTCAGCATGGTGCAGTTTGTCATATAAGGTATGGATTGGTAAATTGACAGTGTCATCTATTTAATATTAAGCAGTCCGTTTGCAAATTTTCCTGCCAGTCAATTAGTTCTTAATTAAAGGGACACTGTAGACACCCAGAGCACTTCCACTCATTGAAGTTGTCTAAGTGTAGTATCCCTGTCCCCTTAACCCTGTAATGTTAATTATTGCAGTTTCTGAGAAACTGTAATGTTTATATTGCAAGGTTAACTTCTCGTTTAGTGACTGTCTACCAGTCAGCCACTTGGGGTGATTCCTGGCGTTTCATGTAAACAACGATGGACGTCCTCACAATTTGCATGAGGATATCCAAGCGTCTAAAAAAGCCCATAGGAAAGCATTGAGTCAGTGAGCCAATTAATTTGCTGTGGGGAGACAGTCTGCACAGCCGAATGGTGCATTCGATGTGAGACCTGTGGAGAGGACGGAATCAACGACTTCGATGGGATAAGTATTGTGACAGAAGCACCATGCAGTATAAAATGTACCGTTGTGACTGACAGTGTACGGTGGAGGGTCCATAATATATATGCTAACCTGGCTAGAAGCTAATGTAAATTACAATACTAGGCCACAGCTTTTGTCTGCAACTGTAGGCATTAATTTACCCCATTTTCATATCACTGATCTGCTCGAAGAGTACCTGGTGACCTGTAATTCGCACCAGTCTTGTAAATTAACTTTTGTCCCCAATGTCAATTTAAAGAAATAATAGAGTATAAAAGTAGCATCGTGATTAAGCATGTATTAAGGGAAGAAATGCCATATTGAATTCCAGAAACATATTAACACATTGATAAATCACGTAATCTTTTATCTCATTGATTTATTAAGATATATCCAGGACCGTACAATGGCATTTCATTCCAATAATACAAACTTTATTTTATGTCATACGTATAAATAGTGATGCATCGATCCCAGTGAATGAAAATAACACTTCAAAAATGCTATGAATCCTCATAACACTTTGTAATGTTCCAAATATATTTTGTTAATACATTGTCACGTTTATGGCTATTTATTATTTTGTATTGCAATGAAAACTAACTGAGAGCCAATCTTTCCCACTGTGGAAATAATGCCCAGAACCAAATGAATCATCAAGAACAGAGATTATAAAACAGAAACACATTCGAGCAATCAGTTCTGAAAATGAAACTCAACTAGCTCCTTGTAAGGGTGATATATTGAGGAATACATTTCCCTCTGGAGCATTTCCTCCAAAACCAAATGTGTGAATTGTTTCGCTGTTTCTTCCTTCAACCCATTTGTGCATGGATAGATTTACAAGACTATCGCTATCTAAATAGAATTTTTGAAACTCCTTGTTTTGTTGGGGATTAAATGGAGATGATTTTTTAGATAGATGCAAGTTTCTCCTGAATCCTCTTACACTTCAGGCTGGAGATAACCACATTTTTAAATGTATTATGGAGACTAAAAATTTAAAATAAATTCTTGTTTGGGACAAATCTGTAAAATCTTCAAGGACCAGGTGTTTGCTGAGGTTTGTCTGTCAATCATAGTCCACCAGTTGTTGTACGAGTTGTAGAACGTGTTCTGCTTTTTTCCCTCGTCCTTTCTTCTCTCGCTCTCTAATTTCTCCTTTTGTTCACATGTCCATGATCTCTGTTTGCTGCTCTACAGTCCTTTATCCATTTTCCTTGATATTTGTCTAATTCAACCCAAATGTCAATGAAATTTGAGTTACAATGAAAACTTGCAAAAGCACAGCTTTCCATCAATGTGGCCATTTTTCAAGTGTTCGGATGTTATCGATGACATCTCATTAATACCGATCAGGTAGGCAACTGCCTAGCATCCCAAGCTAAGGGCCTCATTGTTTCAGTCTAGTCACTTTCAATAATAGTTCACGTGGACGTTTACCCTAAATGATTTTCTTTTTCTCCTTATACTTGATTCTTATCCTTTTTATGATGTGTCTAACCAGCTCTCGTAACAAAACACAAAAGTAAAACAAAAGACTGTTAGAGCCATTGACACAAAGTGAACCCGCACCATTAGGACTCACTGGGGAATAATTAAGATTGTCCACAGTGTCTTCAGAAATAAGAGGCAATTTATTGCGGAAGGCGATATCTTTTGTTTCCAAGACTACTTCTTGCTCTTGCTTCACCTCTGGATGCTCAAAGCAACTGTCATTGACGATCTGAGAGTATGTTATCGCTCTTGAAGTATGAGCCATTGATTCTAGATACAGTCACAAGTAGAAAGTTGTTAGCACAGAAGACTTTTGATTAATGGAAAAAATGACTAATTACTATTGTCTCTGAACCCATTAGTGTCATTATCTGTGCAAATCAAAGAGAGATATATTATTCTACTTAAAATATTGATTTAGTAATATTTTCCTCTTTGTAAAATCGGTCTGTTATCCAACTACATAACCATTTAAATGCATAACACGCATTTCACACACTGTAAAGCAAGTTTATCTTGTGCCCAAACTGTTAAGTGGCCAGTGATGCATTAAAACATGCAAATTTTAGTGTTTATTCCCTAGACACCAAATTGTATTGAATTGAAAGCTAAATGACAAAATGTATGTAAAACTAGATGATTAGTTTTTTTCCCCTACTTTCACTATAGTCACTTCTTGGCTATTGTAGTTTGCAGTTCAGTTTTTAATTCACTACATTTTGGTGTTTCATGAATACACCCCATTTAGGCAATGTAGCTGAGCTCCCTGTACCTCAGCTGGGTACCTTCACCAAGGATCTGTTCCTAGCTGGAACCAGGGAAAATCTCAGCGCTTCTGCCCTAGTCGCTGTGGCTTAACTGGGGTCGTCCTCGAACAGGGAAGGGGACTAGGTTTATTCCTTCCAAGGGACTGGATGACACTCCTTACAAGGACTTTCCCTGCCAAATCCTCCACAAGTGCTGAGCAGTGATTATAGCCCTTTCCCCTCACAGTAACTAGATGACACATAGTTCTGGGAGTACAACTGATTTTATTGAGCCAAACTCTGCCATTTATGTACAGACCCCAGCATAGAGTCTCTATTGTATTCAACAGAAGCCCCTCCGAGGAATCTCTGGACCGGTAAGCTAATTATCTCCCAGGAACAGAAAACCCATAACAAAACATAAAACCATAAAAGTACCCCAAAACATAATAAAAACATAAAATAACCCCACTTTTTATACATTACCAAATAGCCCTGATCTGAGCGCCCAAGTTATCCAAATAGCGCTCAGATCCATGCAGTGTAGGGGAAACGCCACTGTGTTAAAGTTCTGACCGGCCGCACACGTGGTCCTGTGCCCAAAATAATTCCAGGGTGTTTGGTGCTTTTGCCGGTCAACTTTCTGTCTGGCTCTCATATAGCGTTTGTTCCCCTTAGTCTCAGGCACTTTTCCTTCAAAAAGCACTCTCCTGGTGGCTTGCTAAGTGGTTCCTAACCCAGACTAATTTGTCGGGAAACCGCACCGTCACCTCATGCCGAAAACCGTTCCATAACATTCGCAGCTAAGTACCGCTGAGGTGACTGTGGACCCACGTAGTCCTCATGCCGAAATTAGTTCCTCCCATCACCCCGGATAGACCCCCATGAAACTTTAGTAAGGGTAGTTAGTATTCTGAGAGATCCAACAATAGTTAATTAGTATAGTCCTAGAGAGAAGAGAAGGAATAAAGTA